TCTCTGGAATTAAGAGATATGAATAAAACATGTAATACGTATGACATGTGTGGTTGGTAATTTCTATTCCTTCAAATTCTTCCTAATATTCTTCCATTTTACATTAGATACACCAAGCTACTCCAATCTGATATTGAAAATGAGTAAGAAGAGTATGGCGAGTTAGTACCATGAATGTTACATGTGACCACGCATGTCATGGGAGATACAAATGTTGTATACTTGTCTTGTTGACTCAAACATGTGTGTTGGTGTATCACATGCGTCGTTTTTGTTTGTTTATAACAGATCAATAGCAAACACTTTATGCACCAAGTAATTTAATTAGACAAACTTTGAGACAACTACACACTACATGCACTGAAAAACTTGATTATGATGTAGAGCATCATGAAAGAGCTGATGTTAGAGAGGAAGCAAAGGTCTTAAAAGAAGCATGTGAAGCATTTCTTTTAAGTAAATACGACTATTTAATTGCATACGAATATCATCTTCCTTCTCATTACAAAGGAGATGTAATTCTTGCTAAACTTCGTAATGATGGAAAGATTGATATTTTGGCATTGGAAGCAAAGCATATTAACTATTCACCAGATGTGGTTTGGAGAAATCAAAAACGAAAACTTCAAAAACTCAGAGAACAAGTTACGAGATGTGGCAACAATGCCTCTCACTATTTGACTGAAATTCTTGAATGGGATACAGATTCGATTGGTACAATCAAACCATTTGGAGTTTACAATGGCCAAAATGGAGAGCTCAGAGATCACACAAAGGATCTCATTGAACCAGAACATTTTGAGCAAACAACAAGATTGGATTCAGAAGTACCTGTAACAAGCACTACTACTAACCAAGGAAATGGCTCATTCTGGGGAGCACTTGCTGTTGTTGGGGCAGTTTCTTTAGGAGCCATGTATGTAGCTACCAATAATAATAACCCTCCCAATCAACAACAACAACAAATTCAACAACAAGGAAGAAGAAACAATGAAAATGAAGAAAGCCAACAAGAATGCTTAATTATGTAATTTAGATACCATTTTAAATAAAACAGTAAGACATTCGTTTATTTGAGAGGATAAGTAGCTTTCATCATCTGATTCAATTTTTACTTCACAGCTTTAAGAATGTAAAGTATTTGTCATAATTTAGTCTTTTCCTCTGTATTCAAAACGCACCATTGAGAGAAAATGGAAGCTGAGTCATTACCAAGTATTGTTGTTTATTGAGGTGGAGAGAGAGTACAGTCCCGTCTCGAATAGTAAAAGGTCAATGACAATGCATCACATAAATTATTATAATTATTTTCATGTCTCAATCTCAAAAGTCCTGTGAAAGCTTTAAGATTTCTTGCCAAAATTTTTCAGGTAATTTGGAAATTCTATTTTGATCTATGAAGAGTTGTTTTCTGTTGACAATGCTAAACTTGAGAATCTCTCTCAAAAATTGCTCAAATAACTTCAAGCATAGCAAAGTAATTATCAATGGATAGAGTAAAGTTATTCTTGCAATAATTGATTAGATATTGAATTTCATGTTTCATTGCCATATCAAGTAATCCAATAATTTTAACAGCATCAATTTTGTCAATTGAAATTCTATAACAATATTTGATCACAATTTCCAATAATTCCAAATCTTCTGATTCGTCAGGTGTGAATATTCCATCATCACTCAAATCACTGAAACAAGATCCACTGTCAAATAATGCATTAAACAATGTACTTGATGAACTCAATACAGTTTTGTGACAATATAAGTATTTGTTTTGTCCCATTTTGATTTTTACATCACTTGTTTTCATATCACCATATAATGATTCAATTGTTTGTGGTTCATTTTCAATTGTTTCCTCAATATTAATTGCAGTTGGTTCAGTAATGATCATTTTTGGAAATATGGCAGTAGCATTTCTCATAATTATTGGAAGAGTCGATAATAAAGTGTTTCCTTCTTTTGTTTGCATTTGAACAGCAGCATATTCAATGCAATGGTTATTCAATTGATCGAGAATGTAATTTTGAATACCAAATTCCTCTTTGCAAGTTTTGAGTAAATTTTCAATTGTTTCCCATTTGAAAGTAAGATTTTCTAATGTGAATGAGTTCACAAATTCACTTGTCAATGATCTTTTCAAATCAATAAATTCACCATTCTTAAATAAACCCAAAATGAATAAAACATCCAACACTTCTTCTTTGCTAAACTTTACCTTGTTCTTATCATACAGCAAAGAATCAATTAATTTTTGAATAATTTCTTGTTGTGATGAACTCATCAAACAAAGCATCTTTTCATTCTTCAAAATATTACTAAATTTTGGTGAAATTTTTTCAATGAGTGGAATGAATCCATAAATTTGAAATCCAAATAATTGATCTCTTGAATGTTTTTTCAAATTATATTCTATTTTGGAGTACAAGCTACTATTTCCAGTTAATAACTTATTTCCAATATGAGGATACATTATAATATTAAAAGGTGAATCACCACTGAATCCAGCAGTTCCATTTCCTGCAATTGTTACAATATTTCCATTTTCTAATATTTTTCTAATTCTTTGATTACTTTGATCAGAAATATAAACTTCATTATTTGAAACAAAAACACTATTAGGCCTATTCAGTTGTGCATTTGTTGCAGGACCATTATCACCACTGAATCCATAATTTCCATTTCCAGCAATTGTTATAATATTTCCATTTTCCAATATTTTTCTAATTCTTTGATTACTTTGATCAGAAATATAAACTTCATTATTTGAAACAAAAACACTATTAGGCCTATTCAGTTGTGCATTTGTTGCAGGACCATTATCACCACTAAATCCATAATTTCCATTTCCTGCAATTGTTACAATATTTCCATTTTCCAATATTTTTCTAATTCTATGATTGCTATAATCAGTAATATAAACTTCATTATTTGATGAAACAAAAACACTATAAGGATTATACAATTGTGCATTTGTTGCAGGACCATTATCACCACTGAATCCATAAGTTCCATTTCCAGCAATTGTTATAATATTTCCATTTTCTAATATTTTTCTAATTCTGTTATTATGTTGATCAGTAAAATAAACTTCATTTTTCGATGAAACAAAAACACTAGAAGGATTATAAAGTTGTGCATTTGTTGCAGGACCACTATCACCACTAAATCCAACAGTTCCATTTCCAGCAATTGTTATAATATTTCCATTTTCCAATATTTTTCTAATGCTATGATTGCTATAATCAGTAATATAAACTTCATTCTTTGATGAAACAAAAACACTACAAGGATAATTAAATTGTGCATTTGTTGCAGGACCATTATCACCACTAAATCCATAATTTCCATTTCCTGCAATTGTTACAATATTTCCATTTTCTAATATTTTTCTAATTCTATGATTACAAAAATCAGCAATATAAACTTCATTATTTGATGAAACAAAAACACTAGAAGGATTAAACAGTTGTGCCCTCGTAACTAGTGAAGACATTTTTTTTTTTTTTTTAGAAATCTAATTTATTACAATTTAATTGTCATTCAGACTCGTGATTGAATAAATTGCTGTGAGATTGATTCAATCCACAGATACTTCAGTAATGATAGGATTGTTCACTTTGTATTCTTGGGGAATTTAAAGTGCCATGTAGGTTTGTCATAATTTTGAGTTAAGTTTGTTGTTTGAAATTGAAAATGAGAAGTTTAGCTATTGGGCTTATCCAATTTCTTCCTTTAGTCTACTTCCAGAGATTACCAACCTATCTTTGTTAGTAAACATATTAAATAATGTTTTCATTCGTTCTCAATCTTGCATACCCAAGAGAGTTGGAAAGTTTGATTATTTACATCGGTCACAAATCAAGACCAGATGAGAGGAATTCATTGAATGTTTGGGAGTGCTATTATACGTTCTCGTTTGAATTTACATTGTTGATGGAGGTAGAAATATGAAGGAGAAGGGAAATTTTTGGCAGTGATTGGTTGAGTTTGAGCGGTTGTTTGAGTGATTTAGTAATGATTCTGTTAAATATCCTTTCAAGGACCACTTTATAGGATATTGGAATAATCAAGCATCTTTCTCGATCTTGCACAGAACTTCAAGAGAGTTTGATGGTTTGGATTATTTGCATCTGTCATTAACCAAGACTAGATGGGAGGAATTCATTATTAATCAATTTCACTAACTTATTCTGTTCTCATTGGATGAATATAGATTGAATAATTAATGATGGAGATAGGGAATGGATGAATATATTGAATATAAGAGTATAAATTGTATAATTGATGATGGAGAAAGGGAATGTGTGCTCACCACTATTATTTTCGGTCTGGTGAGCTAGTGTAACCTTTTCATTAAACTAAAGATGATGGGTAACAGGTGGAGTATGAATAATATGCAAAATGGATAATTGTAAAGTATTTGTAAATTTCATGAGGATAATAAGGATAATAAAATTAATAGTAGTTTGGTGAGGGATAATGAGTAATGGGTGATAAAATTATGAGTATAGCTGTGTATATGTAATATGACACGACACTATGGTGGCCTGCACTGAGGTAATAGGGCGAACAACTGAGTTAGTTCTTGGGGAGATGTAAAGCTATTTTTTTCGGTCTCAACTAGTGAAGACATTTTTTTTAATTGTAATCCGAGCAGAAAAATAAACTATTAGAAAATATTCTTCAAGAACAACTATATCATGTTCTCTGTTGCGAATTTTAGATGGTTTCTACATAAAACCAGGTAGAAGAACATTACTAGTGAGTGTTCAACATTTTTGATGGTGTGATGATGAAAAATGCTTAATAATGGTAAGGAGTGACAAATTTTTTAAAACAATTAAATGATGAAAAAACTATGGGAGGTTCACCCCACATAACATTGACATTGGTTTATTCACCACTCTACTTGCTAGAGAATCTGGTATTCCCACAACTTTGGTAGTGAATTACTGTTTAGAGTGCAAGGAGATGAATTTGCCAATTATTCATTAATTGAATTTCCCACCAAATCAAAGTTCAAAGATTTTAGTTTTCAATTGGCGACCTTTACTGTGTGGCACCCATTAGTTTGAGGTGGTAGAAATCTTACATTTCATTTAGGGGCGTATGGTGGTCAGAAAATTACGAAATATTTCTTCATACCTCCTTTCATTTAATTGTAAAAATGTTTCTTCTTAAGAAACAACTCTGATTTTATTAAGGCACAAAAATCCATTTAGAAACAATTGCAGACAACATGGGTTAGCTTACTCACCGATTTTTAACAAACTTTGAAAGGTACTAAATTTGGAAAATGTTAATTTATTGAAACCAAAAATCTGAGCCAACAAATCACCTGTGGCCAAAAAACA